AGTCTATCGGCAAAACCAGCAGCAGTATGAATAAAGCAATATTTTTGCAGCAATTTCAAATCCAAACTTCATTATAGTACAAAGTAAATCACCCATCCACGCAAACATAAACTACAGTCGAAAATTTCATCAAGCGTCGGCTCAAATAAAATAGTGGGAAAACCAAATACAGATTGGATTAGGTTAAAGCTACAATTGAATAGGATTATAAAACATAATTGCCTGCTCCGGAAACAACAAACAATTCAGGGGAAATCTCAACCTGAATCATCAGATCATGGTGAGATTGACCTCCGGATTCCGGCGGCGAGTCAACCTCCATCGCGAACATTTTCTTCAACCGGCCGATGCAACAACGCCGATTGATTCCCGACTGAAACTCACTCTCTCACTCCGACACACACACGCACTGATACATGTTGGTGTGCGAGCAAATGCAATCAAACTTTAATAATTTAGATATTATTTTTATTTTATAAAAGATTTGTATTTGTATTATTTCCTAACTTGTAGCATGATCCTGTTACTGTTCACCGGTTCACAATCGCCGATCGGTTTATTAATATATTTTTTATTTATTTATATATATTATATAATTATATTTATTTATTATTAATTTTATAGTGTATGATATTTCTTTAAATAATAGGTCAATAATATATACAACCAACAATGACAAATAATGTTGTTAATTTTTTTTATTTCTATATTTAAAATTTTAATCTATATGTAAGTTACAAAGTAGAGAGAGTAGAAACAACCCGATTTTCATTTTGAATCATATTTCAAATTTTTTTATTGTTGATTAAAAAAATAAAAAATAAAAATAATGTGTATAACAAAGAGCAATAAATTGCTTCTTTAAAAAAATAAAGTGGAAATAGATATAGCCCAATAGATAGTTCACTTAAGAAAACAATATAATTTTATAATGAATAAAATTTTGTTGGTTAAGTCCAATATTTGGCACAATAATTTCAGCAAAGAAATATTTTCCACATAGACAACACAGGTAAAAAAGGTGTGTTATTTGAATCACTTCACAATCAACCAACTAGTGAACCATTCGAACTGGTCCCAGTTCACCGGTTCAACCGATTTTTGACCGGTTTGAACGGTTATTGATCTGTCCAAATGCTTTGCCCGGACCGGAATAGAGGTCGGTTCCCGGTTGAACCGGTCGGTCCAATTCAATTTTTTGAACCACGGTTTTTAGACTAGCAGCTTTACTTGTAGTCTCTCAAGCATAAAATGAAAAATTAGGGTTTGTATACAATACTTTTGGCATTCTTTCTTTTTAGTTCGAATAACCAAATTCTCCTTTCTATTTATCGTTCCATCTTCGCTCTCGACTATACTGAACTACTCGTTCATCAAATTCATAAAGTATCAATCGATGAGGTTTAATCGATCCTATATCATTTTCTATTTTCGTTGCATCTTTGTTTTTTCATTTATTTAGAATCTATACCGGTTTTTGGAGCAGTGGATCTGGTTCTCGAAACCTTAAATCTACTATTTCAAACCCTATATTTGAGTTCTTTGCTTTTCATCGGAGTTTTGTGCCTTACAACCTTCGATCTATTACTATCCATGGTAATACATGTGTAACGCCCAAACCGGCTAAGAACCACCTCGATCTTGCTCTTCTCGTCAGTAGAACGCCAAAACCTACACGAAACTCTTACACCGGAGGGTTTTTCAGTGAAGAGCCTATAACGCTCAAGTCAGTCTTGAGAAGAAGAAGATAATATGGTGCAAATGTTAATGGAATATGAGAGAATGTGTTAAATGATAAACCTCACCCCTATATATAGGGGCGATATACCTTCCCTAGATGCTGCCCAATTTTGGCCGAGTCAGCTGCCCGATCTGCCCGATTGTACACCCTCAGGTACGCGCATTCAGGATGTGTCAGGAACCATTACGGGTATAGGCCAATAAGCTCTCGTCACGTGTCCCGCGCACGTGTCTCAGATATTCCCCTGGAGGCTCTTGTAATTGACTACATCTGGGCAAGTTATTAAGCCGCCTCTGGTGTTGTGGATGGTCGATCTCACAACTATTCATGTTCGACCATTTAGCACTTCGACCAGTTATTCTCTAAGCTGGGATCTACCAGGTGTTCCTAAATTCGCGTAGCTATGCTCTCAACTCTCTATCGATCAGCGTACCTCCTGCTCGACCAAACTAGTTTATCTAGTTTAATCCTCAACTCGACTGATTTAAAGTATAATATCTCATATCATCTACTCCTCCCCACTCTGGTCGAGTCTAATGACTCCATCCTAGAGTAAATCTTCGTCTGCGTTTTTTGACTGTCTTTGTCTCCACTACCATATTCGACCAACGAATATATTATTGGTCATCTCTCGTCCAATTCTTGCTGCAACTGCCCTTTTGCATTTTGAAATTCAAATCCTGTCACCTGTCAACTTTTTCAGGCGTGTCTCTTCGAATCTCATCACTACTCCGTAATTCTCTTTAAGATTATGCTCATATATCAAATTAGCATAAACTATTAATAATCGTCAAATAAATATAAGAAGTTGCAAAGTCTCATAAAATAAAGGGCTTATGGTGTTGGTGTAACGCCCAGAATATTAGTTACTATTTATGGAGCTCGACTTTATTTCCATAAATAGTCAGTTCCTCATTTGATGCATTTATTATTTTTATTTGTATTAAATTGAGTAACTAGTACTAAAGTCTAAGCCATGGAGAATTTATTCGATTTTAATTATTAAAGTCGGGTTGTTAGTCCAAGTATCGGTTATATATATATAATCGAGCCTTGAAATGATCAGAATTTTATTAAAGCGGACCCAAGCTGGATAATTTAATTATCCGAGCGAGTCCAATTATTTTAGTCGGCTCATTCAAGTTAATCCAGCTTATGTTCGATTTTATTTTAGCAAATTTCATTTTAGTAAATCGAACACATGCTCGGTTTATAAAATCGAGCCCATAGTCAATTTTTTTTAAAATCCAAGCCCAATTATTTTAGTAAATTTAACCGACTAATTAATTTAGTCCAAGTTTCGCTACCTTTTAAATTGACTGAGCATTTAATATCTAGCCCGATTAAATGTTAGGATTTTAATAGCCCAAGTAGAAATTTTATTTCTAGCCCAAGTCAATTTCATTAAAGCCCAAAGTTTGAGCCCAATAAGAACCAAAAACCCTAATTTTTCTCAACACTATAAATACACCTTATCTTCTTCATCATCTCTTTCCCAACACCTCCAAACCCTAGATCAAGCATTCAAGAGTTCATCACTTTCATCATATTTCCGGCCATCTTTCCGGCCACTTTGTTTTTCGGCGAAGCTCACATTTCCGGCGAGACCAAACCCTCCGGCGTCCAAGGCTTTCGTCCAAGCCCGATCTCTTCACGTTCAAGCCCGAGTCCCCGCGAGTCCAGGCCACAAGCTCGAACCTGCAACCAGCTCCGACCGTGCCATCGATGTCTTTGCAGCATCGCACCCTCACGTCGCCGGTTCGCAGCTCACACTCGGGTCGCCGGTTAAAGTCGTCTGCAACCCTTGGTTCGCGACCAACCCGAGCCCCTCTCAGCCCTGTCGCAAAGTCCTCTCCGCCGTGCACAGCTCTTCCTGCCGGTGAGTCGTCGTCGTCCACGATAAGTCGAGCCACGCGCCACCAGTATTGGCGCACCCAGCAGCGGATCCGGCCCGTTACAGCTCCGTTTCCAGCAGCTCCGATCGCCTCTGCTCTTTTTCGTGCGTGAAGACTGGTTTCAGCCTCGTTCTCGCGTCGTATAGCTCGTGTTCACCATCCCTGAGCCCAAACCGCAAGCATATTCTGTCCAAACGTGAGTCCACACGCCGGTGAGCTCGATTCCGGCCCTTCTTGACCAAACTTGCGACCAACATCACCAAACTCTATCCAACCGCTCCAGACCCATCCCGAATCAGTCCGGGTCCAAGCGGTTCAGCCTTCGGTTCAACCCATTTCAGCGAGTCGGACCCGGTTCGCAAAAGCCGACCCTTTTTTCCTATAGCCGATCAATTTTCGATTTGCCGATCCGAGCCGAATTAAGTTAAAATGGATTGGGCCTTTCTCCATGAGCTTAGGTATGATTATTAAGATGATATAAAAATGTGAATTTGAGGATTTGAGTGATTTACGATTTATTGGGATTTATCGAGCTTGAAGTTCATTTTTTGAGCTTTTTATAAAAATGAGATAAAATGATGAAATAAATATTATAAAATTTGTATCCATGTCTTGAGGCTTAGTTGCGGATTTGAGAATATTTAGAGTTCGTTTGATAGACGAACGAGATTTTTGAAGTATTTGTTAGAGGTATGCTGTAAAAGCTGTGTTTTGCAGTTTCTATCAATTCCATT